TTACACTGCTAAATTAGGGACGGCTAGCGCCGATAGCCCTTGTGTAGCTTTGCGCGAGATTCAAATCAAACAAACAAACTAAGAGTAGAGTTATTTTATTGGAAAGCAGAGTTTATTTTCTAATAAATCACTCAAATAACATAGAGTATGGATATTTCTTAACATATTATAGAACCAGTTGGAGATAACTACGTGTTGGTTAATTTAAGAGTTCTCTCTAGGTAGGTCGTACTACCGAGTAAGATTTACTAAACGTTTGGTGTGACGAGTTTGATATCAAAAGTTTGGCAAACCATAGTAATGGATCCACTTTACTCGGAACACTACAAAATGCTTCAAATAGTTTTGGTGAATCAGTTACATACTTGGAAATATCCAGCTCTTGAGCCATCTGATGGCGAACTAGTAACTGTTAACACAAATAAAATATAAATACAATATATTATCTCTGCGTAAAACTTTTCTGAAGTTTTCTTGAACGAGAATATAGAAATGGTACATTTTAAAGTAACCTCTGTCTTTGAAGCTCCTGGTAGCGTGTTAAGAAACATTTTACTGTTTCTAAAGTTATCTTTATACATACATAAGCAGGTATGTGTATGAAATTATTTTTCAATGAGTCAGTCAAGGAATACATAAATTGTTTATGTATGGTTGTTAACATCTATTTATGTGTAAATAATGTAATTTTACAGACCCATTTATGTTGCTCATTCCTTGTTTTTATCTCTTTCTTTGAACAAATTATTTTTTGTTCTAGATACGTCAGTGTAGGAACTTTAAAAGACCCACTAACAAACAAGACATATCTAGCTGAGACGAAGAACCGTAGTCATCTGATTTTTGACACGTTTTTGTCAAAACGCTATGCTGAAAACTGGGTCTCCTGCTGTAAAGCTGCTGCTAAATGTTGTGATGAAATGACTTCCACACCTGTCACCGTTAATGGTAAATATTATTTTGGTATTTTACATTTAGTAGTTTTATCCTTTGAGAATTAGATAGTTAAAGAATTTTAACACAAAATGACCTAAATATTTTTAAGATCGAACATTTTGTTGGATAATAGTAGAAATTAAATACGAATCAAAGCACAAAGGCGCATATATCAATTCAGGGATAAATTACTATTAAAACAAATTCAAAAATAGCATTATATAAACAGTGGATTAAAAGCTGCTATACGATTGGTATAGTTGGTATTATACGGTTGGTACTAAAACAAATATTCCGAAGACAGTTGAAAACAAATTAAATATTGTTTGTTTTAGAGTAATCATTACAAATTAAACCATGTCATAAATGAATAAACTGAATAATCACTTTTGCCCCACCTTATATGATATAAATATATATATATATAAAGTAATGGAAATAATTATACATGCATTAATCAAGCTGCAATAGGAATTCAGGACTGCAGGCCAGCGTGAACAAAACCACGCATCTGGCTTTACATCCATTACTCAAAACTTTAATAGAAACTCAGAACTGCAGGCCAGCTTCTCTACAGTTTGCTAATAACTCCATATCGATAAATTCCAGGAACGAGCTTGAGTTCATAAGAGTTTATCACAGTCGTGAATTCAAATTTTTGACTCCCATGGTGTTCTGAGCGTTAAAATAGAAATCGGACGGATCTGAATCGAAATGAACCGTTCTGAAACACATGATAAACAATTGAAATCTGGCTAATTTTTGTAAACAAAAGAGCAGTATGTTCAAATAGACATGCACTTATAGTTAATGGTAATTAAAAATAATTCTGAGCGTTAAAATAGAAATCGGACGAATCTGAATCGAAGTGAACCGTTCTGAAACACATGATAAACAATTGAAATCTGGCTAATTTTTGTAAACAAAAGAGCAGTATGTTCAAATAGACATGCACTTATAGTTAATAGTAATTAAAAATAACATAATCCAGATCATGCTTAACACCGAAAGTAGTTCCGATAGAGAAGCATGACATTTAGAGGAGTTAGGAAGGTCAATATTTCGTTACTAGCATCATCAGAAAGCACACCCGATATGTAGTTGTTTTTATAGTTACCAGTTATTAACGTAGTATTGAACCAAATAAGGTCCTTTCTAAATATACGACAAATTAGACGCATGAGAATGCTACTAGTCAACACCACCCTCCACCAACCCTTGAATCTACTCTTTTACCAACAAATAGTGGGATTGGCTGAAAATTAAAACGCCCCCACAACTGGAAGGGCGAGCATATTCGATGACGATATTCAAACCCGCAAATTGCGAGTTGAGTGCCCTAACATCAGGTCATTCCAGGCTTTTGTTGACTTTTAAACACAACCATTGGAAAAGGCGTAGTCTAGTTGTTAGCGTACTGGGCTGTGGCTTTAAGGTCCGAAGTTTGAGCCGGGATAAACTACTGAATACGCTCCTTACTTATAGTTATGGGGGTGTTATAACCATAACAGTCAATTTCACTATTTGGCTAAGAATAGCAGCGTAAATTACAAGATGCTGACTGATTGCCATACCTCTAACCAGCATTTCTAAATCGGATACGGCTATGTCTAAAACGTGGAATCTGTGATCTGGTCGTTTAACCCATCGTAGAAAGTTCCGTTCATGTTTAAAATACTAATACTTATCACGCGTCACTTAAATAAAAAGGTGGAGTCTATAATAATGCCCTTAGACGATATGCTAAAGTTTGGATTCTTTGAAAACTATTTCGTTTATCAATCATTAAAATGTGTACTGCGCTATAATTTTACATCGCTATATCCTCAATTGTCGAATTGTTCTATAGAATTTTTCGTTGATCCTTATAATTCACCTGCTAAACATTCTTAAAATTGTTAATTTAGTTTTTATTAACGAAAACTGAACGTGTGTGTCTAAGAATCAATTAATGGAAACGTAACCACGGACGTTTTGATTTTCAACATTAACACTTTTTGTTTGTTTGAAGTTAAGCACAAAGCTACACAATGGGCTATATGTGCTCTGCCTACCACTGGTATCGAAACCCGGATTCTGGCGTTGTTAGTCCGCAGACATACCGCTGTGCCACTGGGGGGGGGGCAGCATTTAAATATTGACGCTCATTACTTAATTAAAGGCCAATATGACTGAAACGGTAGTGTTTAAACCCGAAACAACAAAAAGGATTTAAAACACGGCCTTGTTATTAAACAGTTCCCTGCTGTGGTCTAGTATTCATTCGAGCTGTTGATACAACTGCTGTTACACAAAGTCGTGCTTTAAGAGGACGAACGCTATTATTAAATCATGAGAGTGATTAAAAAATCGATATTTTTCAGGCCATTTGCAATTTCTTTGCACAAAGATATACAATTGGCTATCTGTTCTCTGCCCACGGCACGTATCGAAACCCAATTTTTAGCATTATAAGCCTAAATTTTGCTTCTTATAAGAAATGGAGGTTCGGCGAACCGTTAATTTCAAAATGCTGTTACTGAAATAAATAAACTTCTCAGTGACTCTAACACTAAAATACGCGCACTCTAGGTTGCTTGTAGGAAGAAAGAAAGAGTCGGAAAGTTTTAATTTCAAAATGCTATTGTTAGCAGAAGTGTTGTGAAAAAATAAACGGGTTTACAGTTTTGAAAGCAAATATTTTGCTAAAAGAAGTTTTGAATTAACGAGCAATAGAAACTTGTATATTGTATCATTTACTGCATTCAAAGGTCCAAAACATTTTACGTCAAACAAAATCATGTTGAGAAACGTTTTTTGATACCAGAAGAATAATCTGATGTTTTTTTACTTCATCCGCGAAAAAAAATAATCCCCCGAGTCGTATTTCACGGTTTCGTGACTATATTGGTACTCTCTTACGATGCCTGCTGGTTCGCTGATGCAGCCGCTGTTGCTTCACAATGCTCCTTGATAACCGTAAGACTGTAAACTAATACAATTTGCTCATACACTCCATTACAACGAAATGATGAGTAACGAAGTTATTGAAAGAAGTCGTGTGAGGTCTAATCCTAGTAGAGCATCTGTAGGATTTCGTTATTCGTTACTGACAAATGTTCAGTCTAAAAATTAAAACTTGTTTCGAGTAATGCAACAAAACAATTCGTCAAGTGTGTGTATTAATGTGAAGTTAAAATAAATTACGTTTTGTATCCTAGTATTAAACGTAATCTAGAAAAAAAAACTGTTATTATTATTAGATAAAGCCGTAGACAATATTACGTAATCAAAAGTGAAATTCTCTAATGACTCAGCGGTAAGTCCGAGGATTTATAACGCTAATAATCGCGGTGGGCAGAGCACAGATAACTCACTGTGTAGCTTTGAGCTTAGCGAAAACAAAAAATTCAAAGTCAGATATTTTGATATGTGTGAATGTTCGAAATGAAAACAAATAGTTTTATTATTCTCTTGTTGTTGAGCCGAGTATGACCTAGTGAATACGAGGGTTCATGATTTGTATCCAGTTGTACTCTGGTTTATTTATTTTTTTTTTGGGGGGGGGGTGTATGCGCTACAAGAATGACAGTCAACTTCCATTATTCAGTCAGACAGTTGTCAGTGGATTAGTTGACTAGTTGCCTTTCATCGAGTTTTTCAGTTCAAAATCAGGGACGACATTTGCTTGAGAAGTTCAAGTAGTTGTGTAGAGTTAGGCTTGACATGAAAAGGTCTAGTGAAATCAGTTAATTTTTTAACTCAGTGATTAAAACCACTGTTTGTTTGTTTGTTACTTTCCTAGATAAAAAATACTGTCCGAGGACTTGGGACGGCTGGAACTGCTGGCCAGACACTCCTGGGGGTAAAACGGCTTTAGCCGTGTGTCCTGATCACGTCTACTTCAAGAGTGAGCCTCCAAATTGCGCTCGTAAGCACATCTCTTTAATTTTCTTCTTCCTATTGGTTTGGTAGTGGTTCAACTTCTTGCTGATCTTTTATCCAAACAGAAGAATATATTATATTTATTATCATTTTGTAGGTGTAATACTTTTCAATTCTGTGCAATTCAGTGACCTTTTTTAGTAATTGTGGAATAGAATAAAAGAAACTAAACAAAAAGTGATTACTTTACAAGTAAGTCTTTAAGCCTAAAGGTTTTAGTTCATGTAAAATAACAAACGACTTCCGAACATTGTATTAACTTATCAAATTTTTTCACGATTACTTATTCAATGCAAGTGTTCTGAATAATTCCTCTATATTTTCTTTCCAAGTCCATGAATGGACAATTCGGGAAGAGCCATTCGTAGCATCACTTTCTAACGTTTTGCATATAAGTCTGTCAGTTTTTTCTGTAGAGGGGCGGAAGCTATAAACGATAGCAAAAGGAAAAAGGAAATACCTGATAATTATCCGATAATAGAGTAAATGTTATACTGGCAATTCTTTAGTTGCTAGTAGGATCGATAACAGATTATGTAGGATTAAAGCTTTGGATGTCTCAATAAAGTAGAAAATGTTTAAGATCTATTCATAGTTGGATAAATATACAAAATTAAAGTTTGTTTTCTTGGGAAGAATGTTTAGAACCATCATATCTTTCTAACGAAACTCAATATTATTCTAAGGGAATTCTTTTGGAGAAGATTAAACAAAAGTTTATACAGAATTATTCAATATTTCTATCAGTATCTGTGTTTTCTCTAATCCACTTTCCAGAATTTACAAAATGAAAATCTCTTATTCCATTTCTAGTTATCAAACACTCATTAACTTACTCACTTCAAAACTAAGAGTTTACGTACGAGTAATTGCTTTTGTATAGGGGAACTTTTTGAAAACTAAAAGTTTACATACGAGTAATTGCTTTTGTATAGGGGAACTTTTTGAAAACTAAGAGTTACATACGAGTAATTGCTTTTGTATATTGCTTGTGAGGTTTGAAGTAATGAAACTTAAAGTTAATTTACATATAAATGTTAATTTATTTGAGGAAAACACCTGTACAACTGTTGAAATGGGAGAATCCATGACAGTTGTTAAAAAAAAAGAGATAACATAAACAAACTGTACTTTGCAACAAAAGGTGTAATTTACCATGACAACCAAGACCTATTAATGCCATCAATATGGAGTGTTGGTGACATACTCAAGTAATTCACTAAACAGGCTGTATTTTGCAACATATGAAGTATATTAGCATGACAACCGTGTTATTAATGCCATTAATCTGGAGTGTTTGTGATACAATCTGATAATCAGGTAAACAGGCTGTATTTTGCAACAAATGAAGTATATTAGCATGGCAACCATGTTGTTAATGCCATCAATTTGAATTGTTTTTAATTCAGTCTAGTAAACAAGTGAAAACAAACAGTAATTTAAAAATAACAATAAACTACCATAATAATTAAAACACTTTAATGACATCGGTTAGCTAGGACTTCTATTCAGTTTAGGTTGATAATCAGTGAAACAAATCATACTTTGGAACAAGAACAGTAAATTACCATAACAACCAATTATATCATCAGTCTAAGCTATAGTTAGGTATATCTGATAAACAAATACAAATCCTGTAATACAGTAGCTTAGGAATTGTACTACCAAATAATATTCCAAAACTTTAAAGAATCTGTAAAGCAAAAAAAAAAAAAAAAGAGTTCCCCCCGGTTTCACTCTTTCACGTTCATCAGTTTGCATATTTAATATCCTATTCGTTTCATCAATATAAGAGAAATTAGAGGCGTCACTATGTTTTACAGAATAGCCCTCGATTTTTCTGAAAAGAAAGCTTTTTTGTGATTAACGTAAGATTTAACGAGGTTAGTAACTTTTACGTTGTTTGAGCTCAGTAATTTAGCCAATTTCTCGATAAGTCACCGAGTGTTTGGGAGAATTGTGTGCTGCAAATGAATAACCCAATTTTTTGATAAGTCTTCGATTATTCGGGAGAATTATGTGCTGAAAATGGGGATTAGAAATGAGTTTATGTTTATATATGTATTATTTACTCGTTCTTCATAAAATCTACCACAACTGTTTTATTTTAAAACATTATAGTATCATAATTAAGATGTTCATTATTTGTTAGATTAGATAAATTAAGGCTTTAAAAACATAAGCAGAATATTAAAATACAAACTGATGAACGTGAAAGAGTGAAACTAGCAGAATATTAAATATACAAACTGATGAACGTGAAAGAGTTGTCAAACAAGCGGAGGTTTTATGATCCACTCCTGCTGATCGTCTAGTTGATCGCTAGTTTCTGACCTAATTTCGGCAAGCACGGTTCTAGGAAGGATTACATATAGCAAACAAAAACCAGAACATGCTTTATAAGACCGCGATTCAGGTTACCTCCTCCCCCTTCAGTCTTTGTATAAATCTTTATTGTTCTAGTTTTAGAATATGCAATTAAGTAATTAGTTTTAAAGGCTAGTCACGTAACTCACTAACGGCAAAAAACGGCAACTTCAAACTGACACCTAATTAATTCCCAAGAGTTGCTATAAACCAACATATTATATCTAGTGACGCAGTAAACAAGCAGAAGAACATAAAGTTCACTCAAAAAACCTGATTAATTTAAGTGCGTTGAATGAATGAGTAATGAAAATCATGCAATTAAATAGAATTGTCTCTAGATGGGAACTTCAAACTAAACTGTATAAGAACATAATTGTGATTGAATTAAAAGAAGTGTCCACTTACAGGGCGAACTTTAAACCTGGCATAGAAATCATACACCCCGTCAGGCCCCAGTTACTCAGCAATAAGTCTGAAGGCTTATAACGCTAAAAACCAAGTTTCGATACCCATGGAGGGCACAGAACAGATAGCCCATTGTGTAGCCTTGCTCCTATCAATAAACAGTACTCCAAGTCTCATTTTGTATATTTTTGATAACCACTATTTTCCATTTTACACCACGTGGCATGAACAAAAACCAAACTAGAAAGTCGGTTATCAGGATGTATCTAACTTAAAGAAAATAATTATCAGACGTGTTCCATACTAGATATAATCTTCTGATATTTCAGGTAGGCAGTGGTCTATACTAGATATTATTCTGTGACGTTTCAGGTAGGCAGTAACACTGCCTACCTGAAACGTCACAAAATGATATCTAGTATAGAACACTGCCTACCTGAAACGTCACAAAATGATATCTAGTATAGAAGTCTATACTGGATATCATTTTGTGACGTTTGAGGTAGGCAGTGGTCTATACTAGATATCATTTTGTGACGTTTCAGGTAGGCAGTGGTCTATACTAGATATCATTTTGTGACGTTTCAGGTAGGCAATGTTCTATACTAGATATCATTTTGTGACGTTTCAGGTAGGCAGTGGTCTATACTAGATATCATTCTGTGACGTTTCAGGTAGGCAGTGGTCTATACTAGATATCATTC